CGCTACGCTGACTAGGCGGTGCAGACAATCGATGTCCGATGAGTCAGCTTAATGCGACGTGTTTGTGAGTGTGAGAAAAAGACAAGCCTCGCGATCCAGTAAGCGACTGTGAGTTGAACAGTCAAGTATGTGGGTGACTGGGTCGCTACAACGAGCTATGCATTGAAGGCAAGAGCTTGGATGCATGAGCGCTCATGAGGGCGTGGCTGGGCCATGTCTAGCAACTTCTCTAACCACTGATGTGTCCCGTCTCGGGATCCCCATCCACAGAGACAGCACCGACCAGCTCAGCTGAGTTTGCTGGTAATGGCTTCCATAATTTGCTGCCAAGTCGGTGTTTGACCTCCACTAGTTAGTTTCCACACTTCTTGTGGTTATGTGAAAAGGGCCCTTTGAGGAAGTCGGTCAACCGGTATTCAGAGCACTTGACCAAGCCAGTGCAACTTATGGACTGTGGTCAGATCTGTCGTGGGCAAGTTGCTTCCTTCAGGAAACCATTTGACGTAAGTCAGCATTACTGCTCCACTTTTCTAGCCATACTAAAGCGATGCTCAGAAAGCGTCGATGGTTAAACACTGATATTTTTTACCTTAGCGCGCAGCGGTCAGGTTTCTGACAGTATAATGATATGAAGCGCACCGCAGCATTGTAAACTCGACCTCTGAAAGATAAGCTGATGTCAGGCCTGCACCACAAGTGATGCAGGTCTACAGAAATTGCTCTCACTCTCCCAATCCGGATGGAAATACTATCTTTAGCTAAACCACCGGGGTTGTTACAGTTGCCCAGGTAGACAAATTTGTCTACTACCTCAATTCCAGTTTTTAAAAATGACCGTGACATTGTCCTTATCCGTCTTAGGAAGTTGAATAGATCTGTCTAATTTCAAAGGTCCAAGTGCACACGGTTGTTGTCGGCGTAGAATTTTGACAACTCAGAATCTAGCTTAATTTTCAACCGAAGCGCACCCATTGTAAACTCGACCTCTGAAAGATAAGCTGATGTCAGGCCTGCACCACAAGTGATGCAGGTCTACAGAAATTGCTCTCACTCTCCCAATCCGGATGGAAATACTATCTTTAGCTAAACCACCGGGGTTGTTACAGTTGCCCAGGTAGACAAATTTGTCTACTACCTCAATTCCAGTTTTTAAAAATGACCGTGACATTGTCCTTATCCGTCTTAGGAAGTTGAATAGATCTGTCTAATTTCAAAGGTCCAAGTGCACACGGTTGTTGTCGGCGTAGAATTTTGACAACTCAGAATCTAGCTTAATTTTCAACCTCAATTCAATCAATCTATCAGTTATAAACCGTGTGCAATGGGTACATTAGTTCCAGCTGCTACAAATTCGATCACCTGAAGATGGGAAAGTGTGGTACATACAGCCAAGCCTCAGAGCCGGTAGCTTTGACGCACGAGCGCCACGGATTGTGCAATTGGGCCATTTTTGCCAGTGTCATTAACCGTTGGTGAGTTGAGCCCGGGGATCCCCATCCATGGAGGCGGCAGTTACCGACCCAATTAGGTTTATTAGCCAGCCACACACACCGTCCACCTCTCGGTCGCTTCCGCTCAGCATAGGGCTGGGAGAGAAGCGCTCTGCGAGGCAGACGGTCTTCTGATATGCGGAGCACATTTCCTAATCAGCGTTACCTGTGAAGCGTGAGTAGTACATCTATCGCGAGAGAGTTCCTTCTTCTCAAGACTACCTGGCGTACCTCAGCATTGCTAGTCCCATGTTTCCAGCAGACCTGACCAAAGCTTCGGAGATACCGATGGTCAAACACTGACACCCTCCGTATGTCCTCCACGTGTAGAGGCCACGTCTCGGATCGAACAGCCGCAGTGTAAGCTCTGCTACTGACAGACAAACCGACGTCACCGGTGTTGAAGGTTGGCAACCTCAGGAGTTAGTTGCCCAAGAGTGGGTTGGGTTTTTGGAATAACGATCTACGGCTGAGGTGGATTCTGCTGAATGTCGATGTAGTGACTATGTCACTACATTTCCATAGTTGCGGAAGTGTTGCTTGAGGCCACTGACCTTCGCTCGATAGTAGTGTAGGTTATTCCGGTTTCAACCGGACAGAAGCATGATCGATATCCACGGCAATGCACGATGTAGGAAAACGTGCGCAATAACTAAGCTACTTAGATGCAGTGGGTAGTAAATAATCAAGAAATTAGACCTGCACCCCAGGTAAACGAGTCCCAAACGCATCACGAGCGTTTTATCGACGGAACACTAATCGCAAGCTTGTCGAAAACTGCTCAATAACCCACGACGTTTTGCCGTTCTTGGAACCCATCAGGCAGGTGCAGTTCCAGAATTTCGGTTGACCTTATGTCCTACTTGAGTCCAAACTGGACAGATTCCTATAAATACACTCATCTGCATATCAGTATGGTTTTTCACGGGAGACTCAACTGAATCTATCGTTTATGATATTCTTCAGTTGGTACGATATTCGAGATACCGCAGTATATTTTCACGAAGGAAACTCTCAAGTTTGCTCAAAACTCTCCGACAGCTCACGACCGGCTTCACCCTTCTTGGAGCTCATCAGGTAGGTACAGTCCCCGAGTTTCTGTCAAACCTATATCATAAACGAGATTCAGTTGAGTCTCCTGTGAAAACCAAACTGATACGCAAATGAGTGTACTTGTAAAGACATTTCTTTTTTAACGAGGCGCAGGTGAATCCCAGCTGGATCTCTCGTTTATGATATTATTTAACTGAAGTCGCTGTATCAAGGCCTTAGCTGATACAGTATTCGAGACATTGCAGCGTATATTCTCGACGGAACGCTACTCGCGACTTGCGTACAAGTTAGGCTCACGTGGAATGTAGGCTTGATGGAAACTCTGAAGTGCTCCAAGTGTTTCAAAGGGGACGACGTCAGTCGTGGGCTGTTGAAGGACTTCCGGCAACCCTATGAGTAGCGCTGTTAGTACCGGGGTAACTCTAGTATCGAACTGACTGGAACATGTGACGGTCTTCGTGAAGCAAATGCAGTTGAAAAATATCATAAACGAGGTTCAGTTGGGATTAAGTTGAGTATTCCGTTAAAAACGAAGCCAAACTAGTGTGAAAATGAGTGTTTCGTATTACGCTCGTCTTCAGTATGGTAGTTGGCTCAAAAATGAATTAATGCGGTGACAAAAGTTCTGAACAGCGCTCTGTGCGTTCTGTACGGTTTCGCTGTTAGTTCTTAAAAATGTACACTCTGTTTTGGGAAACTGTTTTGTTGAACTGGAAGCGTAAATGACCGTTAGATCGATTCCAACAACGGGAAACGAGCCTATGATGTCTCGTTCACCCACAAGGTGGTCTACCAGTTGGATGGACAAGAACATTGTCTCAGAGCATACATATACACTGGAGTTGTACAGTACCAAGTATCAATGGTCGCGGAACTATTCTATGAATCCCACAATAGGCTGGGTAGAGATGTCTTCCAGATACTCCAATGGTACGGGTTTCAGTTCTTTGGAAGAAAGGTGCTTCACTATTGTGCTTATCTCTTCGTTCGCAGGGCACTAATCTGTGACCATGTAACATATGAGGCTAAAGTTACCAATATCGCACCAAGGGACCCCGTGTCTGCTGCTGTCGCTCCGTTACGAGCTGATCAAAATGATCGCGTGAGGATTGAGTAATACGGACACACGAATTAAATTACTAAACTTCAAAAACAAATAAGTCTACAAACCAGGTGATCGAATTGTTTGTAAAAAATTATTACTTACCGGTAGAGGATTGTGATGATTAAGGGAGTAGCAAAGGCGACTACACCAAACAAACACAGCACAGAGAAGGTCAGGAAATCGCCAGCCAACGGTTGGATACCCAAAAAATGCTGGATGCCATCCCATTTAGGATGTTCGGAGAGAAGAAATATCACCTTCGGTGAAACGTGCAGAAAGAGACCAAACGCGAAGGAGGTTGCCGTCCATATGGTCAAACGAGCGAGAGTCGATGGAATGCCATCTTCGTCTTTCCTTATCTCCACCTAGGAACCGAAAAGGAGCCGTGTTTATCCGGGTGTCGTAAAGACAATTCTGTGAGTGTGGTAATTATTCCGTAAGATGCACCAAGTACTCCGACTCGCCTATTTGTTGAAACCACAAAACCATATATAAAAACACCAACTGTTATCGTGCTTCCATTTTGTGGCTAAGTAGTTAAGTGGCTTCCATTGTGCCATGTCTGCTTTGTCAGCTAGCAACGGTCTTGTTTCGAAAACAATAAGATTCCTGGCTTTCTGCCTAATTTGTCTAGTACACATGCACTCGCTAGATCACGAATCTTGTTTGTTCCCACGTGAAAAAACCCTGTCGCGCTTGCAACCCTAACCGACAACGTGTACACTGGAATTTCCCATCCATTTAGGTTACGTGGCTACCGCCTGCATCACGTGCCATGCCTACGACCACCACGCACATCAGATGAAGCCGTGCAAGGTCAAGTTTGTGCAACTGTCATCCCTCTCTTCACATTGTACACAATAAATAGGCACGCAACTCGGCCCACACACGCGCGCGCGAAAAGGGAAGGAAGACAATCAAACGGCACAAGTCCGTGGACAATTACGGAACGCCTGTAGCAGTTAGATTGCAAAGAAATTGTAAGAACTGGAACCAACATACCCTTCCCTCGCTCATGGTTTATAGCTGATTGGATTGAATTAAACTGAACTGAGCTGAGCTGAAATGTTACGTGGGTATGTACGTTTAGGTGCGCGCAACCAAACAGATGCGTTACAAATCTAATAGGTTCGTAGACATGAAACATTACATGACAGTGACATGTTTGTCATTTTTGACGTACGTCCACCGTACATAAGTGTCGCCAGAGACAAGTCTTGAAATTCTACTTCGACTGTCACAAACCCGACACGATTACTCTTACTAACCTGTCACCTACCGAAAATGGTATCAGGAAACAAGGTCCGTCTACGGAACATTTAAACGATCACATTTAAAGGGTTTAGTCAAACTAAAAGGGAGTAGCCATGGGCTCCCCACATACGCCAGCCGTTAAAAATATTTTAATTGGGACCTAGAAAAACACGTGATTGAACATACCCACAGACTTCATGTTCGAAAATTGTCAAGCGAGTACGTTCGATTGGCGGGACTGGAGGTAAAATGGGGGAACCATCGCGTATTCAACATTAGATGCTTAAAGCACAACATCATTCCCAACTCCGTGATTGCGAAGCCACCGGATACGTCAGCTGCTTCTGCTAAAATTGCTTTGTCAGCGGCCAAGTTATTCCTCAAGCTGAGGATCTACCTAACCACCCAGCGTCTAACCGACGTACGTCGCCACGCCAGTCAACTCAGCCAAAATCTTCAGACCCCAATCTCAACCGCCGACTTCCAGATGCTCAACACCAAAGCCACAGAAGTGAAGCTTGCACAGGGTCGGCACTGCAAGGATAGGCAGATCCGTAAGTTCGAACAACTGCTTTCCATGACTCAGGGCCCTAGAAAGGTCACAGAAACGAAGAAACCATCCACCAATTACTGTAGTGCAGTCAACTTGTCAGATAGACCACTGAGTGAAGACGAACGCTGTTTGTTAGAAAAGGGACTAAACTTCGCTGTGAGCAAAAAAGTAAGAAGAGCGGAGGAAATAATTCCTAGTGTAGAGTCAGTGTTTCAAAAGCTTCCTTCAGCGGAAGCTGAGAAGCTACGGATACAACTGGACACAGTCCTGAAATCCCAACAGCCGGGAGCTCCAAAATAGTGCACCACCAGAGCGGACAGCGTTGAACACACTGAGACAGGTAGATAGTATTGTCATCACCAAGGCCGATAAGGGTAAAGCCACAGTAAAGATGAACAGCAGCGACTATCTTCAAACGGTCAGGCAACACCTCGCCGATGGACCCTAAGATGAACAGGACTATCTTCAAACGGTCAGGCAACACCTCGCCGATGGACCCTACCGACAAATTACCGGTAGCAGTATTACTTCAATAATTAATGAGAGTAAGATTGAAGTTGGGAGATATTTAAGATCCGTAATAAACCATTTAGGGCAAGGTAAGTGGTATCGGTTGTATCCAAAAAGTGCGATTCAACCGCGACTCTACGGACTGCCAAAAATCCACAAGGCAGATGTACCGATAAGGCCAATAGTGGATGGTATAGGCTCGCCGCCGCATGAACTGGCCAGATTCTTAGCTGGTATACTAAAACCACTCACGGGAAAATCAAGCACCTTCATCAGGAATTCGTACGACTTTGCCAACAAGGTCGCAGGGCTTCCTTTGGAGATGGATGAAATCCTCGTGAGTTTTGACGTAATCTCAATGTGCACAAACATCCCTAGGGCAGATGCTCTAGAGGTAACTAAGAGGTTATTACTGGCAGACACGACACGATCAGTTAGTTTTTGACACAACTGTTTACTCACAAGAAGAAGGCCTTGCAATGGGATCTCCAATGTCCCCAGTTTTAGCCAATATTTACACGGAGGACTGCGAACTAATAGCCTCGGCCGGATATCATTGTCCACCCAAAGTTTTTGGGCGTTATGTTGACGACACGTTCGTTGTCATCAAACGAGATACCGTGAACAGCTTCCACGACTGTCTCAATAGTTTAAACCCACACATTAAGTTTAGCATGGAAATAGAGTCCACCTCGACACATTACTCTTTCTGGACTGTATAACACATAAGGTTTGTGGGGAATTGAAAACGACTATCTACCGGAAACCAACAGACACAGGAACCGTCTTAAGCTATTCATCAGCACATCCAAAGTCCGTGTACGCCAGCAGTCTCATCGATGTTTCATCGAGTTAGAGCGCTGTGCACAGAAGAGATCGACCGGACGGCAGCTCAAATCGAGATTGCCAACAAGCTTCAAGAAATAGGATACGCAGTGAGTTTGATTAGGCGTCAACTAAGGAAGAATTGGCCCCAGTAAGGAATGGATTGGCACAGCAGTCATTCCATATAAAGCAGGAACATCGGAGTTTATTTGAAGATTGTTGAACTTAGCCAACATTCGAGTAGCTTTTCAGAAGGGAAAAACGCTACGCTCAGTTTTGGTGCAATTGAAAGATCCCCTGCCGGCTGAAAGGACTAAGGACTGTGTCCAAAATTGACTGCAACGATTGCGCTCAGGTTTATATAGGACAAACTGCCAGGGAATTGCACACCAGAATTGGTGAGCATAAGAGAAGGATTAACAAACCACCAAGGAATGCACAAGAAAACCAAACGCTGATCAAAGACTCAGCGATGGCGGTACATGCTTTAGACACGGGACATAGAATAGATCTGAAGAATGTGGAAGTTTTAAGACGGAGACTGCGATTGTCACCACGGCGGCTGATAGCCGAGGCGGTGGAAATTACTAAGCATCACAGCGTGAATAGAATCGAGGGTGTGGAGCTAGCGAGCGTATGGAAAGCGGTCTTAGATAAGCCGAGTTGACACGTGACGGTGTGGTTGTCAATCCACTTAGGATCATTAGAGAAAACCGGGGGATGGGGGTGGAAACCCCAACCGACCAAAGGTCACAGCATCCCTCTTACACAACTTTCTTAGTACTAGCTCACCCACACAGACTGACAGAAGGTTCCAACGAAGTTCGAGAGGAACCATCAAATGAACCGAACCAGAAGAACTAGACCATAGGCTGGACCCAAACACATGTAGGTTTCCCCACCGACCCAACACTTGTTCAACCACTCTAACACACTAAAATCCCTCAGCCGACACCCAACAGATATTAAGCTTGACTTAGCTGATTGGTTCTCCTTCCGCCTTAAATCTCGACCAACCCCGGAACCTAGTCACTTGGCCTGACGAAGCTTTTGTGTCAAAAGCGAAACGTTGCCCAGCAATAAGTCTACCGATTGTCACCAAACTTTTTCGAAAAAGTGACGGGTAACTTTTGCAACTAGCCGCGCAATCGGTTGCGATATGTCGATCATACATTCGTAGTGATGCTGTGTGAATTGCTAGTTTTCCTCAGCTCCCTATGCAGTGGCCTAAATGTTACCTAATAAACTGAAAGTTGACAGCGATCTTGAAGCTTCCTGCATTGTCTTGTGACAGCCAAACAGCCGGGTTTTAGTGTGTCTAGGTATCGAAAACCAACCCATTCAGGACGATTTTGTGAGCCATTTTCATGTAGTCCAGTGGGGATGAAGGGAACTCTTGTACTGTCACTAATTAATACAGCAAAGAAGGTCTGACTCGATGAAATTGCGAAAGCCAGTGAAACTAACGTATTGAAGGACACGCTGTATCAATGCGACTGCCCAGTAGCTTTCCTAGAGAAGATAATGGATGAGTCACAAACAATAGAACAGGTTGAAAAGGAGGCGTTTCCATCGACTTCTGAACGAATTTGTGGCCAAAACGTCGGGTAGTAAACCTCACTATGTCAATTTTGTATTCCCAACTATCACGTGGCCCCCAAGTTGAGTGAGATAACCTGTAAGGAGATAGACGCCGTTCGTCACTGTAACTTCCGTTTTACAGTGTTGTGAGTGAGAAACCTGTTGAATACAGATGTACGTACACCAGTTCCTCTTTCTGAGCAGTTCGCTATAGGCCCACATGAATCATTCTATAACTGGATCCCATTCTATATAGTTACCACAATTCGAAAAGAGGTAATAAATATTCCGGATCCCTCACTCTATCGCGGAAGTTATATAGGCTTTGAATTTGATGTACGAAGACCAGAAACATGTTTATCGTAGGCGACTTCAAAATTTTTTGTCAACTACACGTCATTTCGGTTAGTAATTAGCCAAACGATAAGAAAACCACCGATGACAAGCGCACCCCAAAAAAACTATGGTTAACTAGCTAGGCTATAGTGCATGCTGAGTCGTCTCTTGCCGATAAACCTGAAAAACTAACACAAACAACCAGGCGATAATGAAGCACCGTGATACTTGCTACGACCGGTCTCCTGGAATGGTCTTCCTCATGACTCCCCGCGTTTATCTTGTTCATCGGCCTTATTGGCGTTTTAACAACCAGTTTCTACCCGGGTTGTGCGGGTCAATGTTGGGAAGTGTGGATATGTCTGTGCTGATTAGCACCAGGTTACTCTTACTCATTCTTCGTTGTTGTAAGTCACTCTTCATAGAGTGACCATGTTTGGCATTGCTGGTGCCTGAAAGCAGCAAAAAAATTCCGTTGGACCTGCTTCTTGTAAAACGATGTTGAAGATATAGATATGACAAAAAACCGCACGTGGTATGTGTGTGTATTATCAGCACAGAAATATTTCGAGAGGTGTTGCCCAAACGGTTATCAAAGCAACTATTTGGGACACCTCTCCACATTTGCCGTTTTTCACATGCGCAAACGTTCTACAGATTGAAATGTGGATGGGTGCGGTTACGAATGGTAACCGGATTGGTAACTAATGCTGACTGTCCCGGAAATGCTGCCGAATTTAGCGAAATCGGGAACCAATACACAAAAGTAACATTCGTGTAATCAATTCATTTTTCAAAACCCTCAACGGCGTCTACATTCATTCGAGCAAGGCGGTCCTCTGTCAGTGAAATTGGGGGGGGGGGGTAGTGCGTCTAATTGTCGCTTAAACCAGGCGGTCCCCGGCAGTCAAATTGGGGGGGGGGGAGTAGTGCGTCTAATTGTCGCTTAAACCATCTGTATTCGACTTCACACCAACGTCTAGAACAAACAGAAACGATTCATGAGAATGATTTCATGCTGAACCAACGATAGATCATTCGAAACGTCGTATTGTGTGGTCCGGTTACTCATTACTGATAAGGAACCTTTTCAAGTTAAATCAAACGGTTCCACATGGAATGGATAGACACTGGCTACGCAGTTAACACCAAACTTGATCTAACAAACATCGACCTTTCTTACCTTACTTGGTGACGATGTCTTCTCACTGGCAGGTGAACTTGGTTTACTAGGTTGTTTACCGCGTTTCCGAACATATCGGTCAGCGTCAGGTGACAGCGCCGTTCGTAGTGTAGTAGAAGTGAGTGAGTCATCTGACACATTCTTCGTCTCAGACGCACCCACAGCACACCAAAATCCAATCGTCTGGAATTAGCAATCAAAGAGAATGTTAGGTTGTACGCAACGTTATGACCGTCTGGCGGAACTGACTTTAAAGTGAGACAAACCCACCTTGATCAGCAGACTACCAATGAGAATTAGAACGGGGGGCATATACACTCCGATCGATATATACCGCATGGGGTTTGGGAGCAGGTAATACCAGTAGGATTGGTGCAACCGTTCTTGAAGATTGTTGAGAGAGCGCAAAATTCCTTCGACGAATCTGAAGAAAACAGAAGGGCAAGAGACCCGACGAACAGGTGTACGCCGTACGAAACTTTTCAAATCCGAAGACCAAAAAACCAATTGAATTAGTAAGTGAATAGTGCTTAGTCAATTGTGGAAAATCGATGTGGCACAAGAAGGCGGAAAAAAGGGTGGACAACTGGAAAAACAACCCTTTTAAAGGAGTGAATGCCGTAAGACATTTGAAGACTTGCGAGGTTGGACCATTGCGGATGGTGGAAGTATCGAAGTTCAGTTCTGCCTTCTTCCTGTGCCCCTTGATCTCATAAGGTATTGTGAAGCATCAATATTGTCCTCTGTTTCGGAGTTCAATGCACCTCTTCTTCCAAAAAGTGAATACGGTGCAAGCAGGTGCTCATAATCACGCGTATTCCAGTAATAATAGTAACCGCTCAGCTGCAACAACCTTTCGGTACCTAGCTACCGTGCCACCCGAGGGAAGCACGAGGGCTTAGGTAGTGTCAAGTTGTCTCTCTTTTCTCCCATATTCTCCTGTTACTCTTCCACATTCATCGCTTGCATTCACTTTTTATGTTTGTGACCATGCTCTTCAAAAATAAATGATAAATAGACAGGAGCAGCAAAATGCTGAGGTTGTGTTCGAACCACGGACCTTCCGGTCAGTAAGTTAGCACCTTAACCACTGAGCTATTTCGAGCTCAAGTGTTTGATAGCAAAGTACAAGTACCTTCGGTAGGGATCACTAGACTAACGGATACAATCCACATACTCCAAAAGCCGAACAGATTTTGGTCATAACGAATATCCAAAGGTAGTTGTAACCAAGATTCCGCAGTACATCTTGCAGAAGGCTTGGAAACCGATCCCACCTAAATGTTTTTCTTAAAGCTGTTGTCTGGTTACCGGAGCAACCAAATACCAGTCAGCCCAAAGTTTCACTGCTAGAATTATCGTCGCATAAATAAACACGCTTCACGGGTTTTAGCTGTAAAAAACAGTTACCAGGTGTTGTTGGCCCCTCGTGACGCAATGATAATCAGAGTGGATGCACGTTCAGCTAATACTACTCTCTTCCTAACACACAAAGACTTTTGCGAAACAAGGACAGTTTTCTGCTCGGGGTGGCGGTTACTTAAGAGGAAGGTCAAAGTAGAATGTAAAAGTTGGTGAACGCCCCCGCGCTACTTGGTAGTAGGTACCATCGAGACATCCGGAGAAATTCCTTTCGAAAACATCTACCGCAATCAGGATATGTTTTCCAATAACAGTTAATTCTTTGAAAATAAGAAGTGTTTATGATCGGCAGTGGAAAGTCACACAAATAAAGAGGAAAGTTTGTTACTCTACTAATAAGATTATCATGATCAGCCCTAAAATCTTACTTCCCCAAACGTGGACTTTTTCGGGAGCTGCTAAGCGACCGATGCTTGCACGATGGGCCACGCAGAGTTACCGCGGGAATCTGGTAATTGATCAACAAACCATGAAGCCCTGTGGGAGAACCGGAGGCCTGTGTCCACACCGCATTCAAAAGCCCAAATACGTCCCCTCGCCGAACATCAGTTTGGCCACGTCCATAGTGGAAGGGCTTTAGCAACAGAAGTCAAGAGTCAACAAAAAGGGTTGTTAACAAGCAAGTCAAGGTTAAGCAGCTCAAAAGAGCATGACAGTAAAAGAGTGGTGTAAAGTATTCCTTCAAGGCTAAGTAGTAATTATAAACTTCAAATTTGTGGCACGATTAGTTTCAATCAGCGTGCCTAGTATTTAACATGCTCCACTGGAAAACCCGGAAAATGAACATGTAAAAACAATTAAGTTACACAGCTCAGTCCCAGTAGATTAGGGAGACCCGAGGACTGATCGCCAGCAACAATTTGAACACTGGGATTTTGAGGACTTCAGTGTTCGGCTTAATACTTCAATGACGGAGAGAGTGAACGCCCTTGTCGCAGTTCACATTTCTGTTGAAGGCCAGGATTCCGGATTGGATGTATCAGGTTGCTAACTGAATCACTGTTTGAAGTACAGTGCCCAGCGATCCAAACATTCTGTTTTGCCGGATATCAGGGAGCTATTTTGGTCTCTGTGAATTTCGCTGACAAGAGGCTTCCGAGGACAAGTCGAACGAATCAAGTGAGACAGCTTGCGGACGTTTTCAGCAATCTTTGCATCTTCCATTTATTCGACCACTCGAGTCCAAACTTCTCGGTTGCCTGGTATCGGGTAATGAGGGAGGAATCTGTCGCCAGGCCTTCAGCAAAGACACCGTCGCATCAGAGATCCAATACTTGGATGAGGTTGGTTGGGTTTTACTGCCTTGACTAGTGCTTTCGATATCTTCACCCAGTGGCTATTTATATCCAAAATCAGACCGGAAATCGAAAAGGGTTCGCTCCGTTCCGGAGAAATATCAGTTTATTGACGCGAAACAACAAAGAGTGCTGTTCACCACTCTTTGTATGCTTCGCTGGATACTCGAAAGTGTTCGCTCGGGACTGATCCACTACCTGGTCGGCTGTACGCACTTGCAGTCAATCTTTGTTTGCGGTAGTGACTAAAACAATGGAGTGTTATAAACTGGCTAAGCAACGCTCGAATTTATATTCAGTGAAAGGCTAGGGTGACTGGCCGGTGGGCGTTTTGTCACATCTGTGTCACTGTTAGTCGATTGTGTTGGTATACATATGATTTTGTGTTGTCTGGTAATCCGACACTGTGCAAACCTGCAATGCTGTGCTTTTGTCAAAAATTTCACTGCTACGGCGTAGCCAACAAATAATCTTGACTATAGAAAAACTTTAAGGCATCAAGGAATAATTTTATGATGAGGTGACTTTGAACGGAAACAGCCGACCACAACGAGGCATAAATTGTTACAAAAAATCTGAAAACAGGCGAGTGCGCCAAGCACAGAAGAAATGCCCTACCGATATAGAAAAAGACTACATTTTTTATCAATCAGTAGTCATTTTTGTCGATTAAGTTTGTCTCCATGACTGTTTCTCACCCGATATTCGACCAGCTTGTCATCACTCCGAGCAACAAGGGATGATCACACATCTCTTTCAAGTTACAAATGTCAAGTTTTATTTTGCACGACTCTCTAACTGTGGTATCATCCGAAATAATAGACAGGAAGTGCTATTATAAGTCTCCGGTGACTTAGATACATTCAATAGCGATCACCGTAGTTCATCCGAGAACAACCATGAAATTATGGTGAAACAGACAGAGGGTGCACAAGAATTTGAAGCTATTGAAGACACAAATAACGAGAAACGGTAGGTGAGGTCTAATCAACTGAACACTAGGAATCTTACAGTTCAGTTATCAGGTATAGTTCTATGTAGATGGACGAGATATTGAAACCAATACATTGTGTTTACTGTACAACGCAACATGTAAACCGAGCAGCACAAGCCGGGGAACTGGATGGCAAGTAGCTAGAACAAGCTGTTTATCCGACAAAAGCGAGTAACGAATGATTCTTAGGCAGTTCATCTAGTTATTACCTGATTGTTCACGATTGGTTCGATCGAATGTTTGTTAGCCAGTCGAACCACAGCATTCACCAGATCAAGGTTGGCGAGGAAACCATTTGTGCCCTCTGGTAAGATGTCTACTGAATTGGGATCCGAGTGACTGAACTCCAAATTCAACCCAGCCTGAATGTTTCCACTTCGACCTTGAATTTCCGACCACGAAAGATCTGGCGTGAAAAACATCCGCAACAGGAGTGAGGCACGAAAACGAGGTAGTACATGCAATTCAATTAAATTTCTCAGCTATACACCGTGTGCCATAGGTACATTGGTTCCAGTTGCTAGAGTTTCGATCACCGGGAAACGGGGAAGTGGAACATACAACCAAGTCTTGGAGCCGGAGGCATGTTCAGTTTGTATGAAAATCGGGTAGCTACGCATTGAAGACGATAGCTTTGATGCAAGAGCGCCACTGACTGAGCGATTGAGCCATTTCCGCCAATGTCATTAACCACCTGTGATTTGAATCCCGGGGTCTCCATCCAGTTGCCCACCCGACTAAGTTTAATGGTTGGTGCTTTCGTGATTCGTTGCCAGGTCACAAACTGTCCACCTCTCGGTTGCTCCCACTCAGTGCATGGCTGGGAGAAAAGAGCCCTGCGAGGCAGACAGTTTTCAGGCATATGGACTACATGTCCCATCCAGCGCACCCACGAAGCGTGAGTAATTCATCTATCGCGGGAGAGTTCCTTGTTCTTAAGACCATCTGACGTATCTCAGCATTACTAATCCGACGTTCCCACCAGACTTAACCAATGCTGCGGAGACACCGATGATCAAACACTGACATCTTCCGTATGTCCTCTGCACGTAGGGGCCACATCTCTGATCCATAAAGCAGTATAAATTACAACCACAGTGTAAACCTTTCCCTTGACAGATAACCTCACGTCACCTCGGCGCCATAGGGGTTGGCAAAAAAGTGCCCTGGCCTTTCCGATTCGAGAAACAATCTCATCTCCAGCCAGTCCACCGGGACTTATACAGCTGCCCAGGTGAACAAATTTATCAACCACGTCGATTGGCTCACCTACAAGCATGAGATATGGGTTTGATCAGGTGTGAAGCGCGTACCAAACCATGTGGCAGAGTAATTTAGGTTAGTTGAAAATCGTTTGCATTTTGGAAGGATCAGAACCAAGGAGAGCAATATCGTCTGCATATTCAATGTCTTTGAGGGAACGTCCCAGGAGCATTTCGACCCCCGAGGTTTTAGAGGCAGGCAGAGAAATTTCAAGCAGCAACAACAAAACTAAAAAGGAAAGAAGAAAGAGGGCAGCCTTGTCTTACACCACTGTATGTGGTGGACTCAGGTGAGAGCTTCTCGTATACTCGCACGCGACCACAGGAATTTGCATACAGTGCCCTCATAAGGACATTTGGTCGCCAAACACTGCCAAAGTTGCTGACGATCGACAGGATCAAAAGCAGCATTCAAATCCAGAAAAACCACCAACGTGGGACGTCCGAGGGAGTCGCGCTGTTCAGGAATTCGTCTCAAGGTAAAGATGTGGTCGATGCATCCTCGACCAGGGCAAAACCTAGCTTGATTCTCACGAATTAGTCTCTCCCGATAGTCCATCAACCTGCGCAAAATAATGCCGGAGAGCACTTTAGATGCAATAGATACCAGGCTGATACCGCGATGGTTTTCGCATGACGTTCTTGCTTCCTTTTTGACACCTGGGATGATGGCAGAGGTTGTTTACGGTCCAAATTGGGCATTCATATCACCCGCCAGGATTACTATATCCGCCTTTCTTACCAAACGAAGCAGTCGTGACAGACCTTGATAAAACTCGTCATTCTCAGTCTCAGGACCCCTATCTGTTGGAGCGCATACTGATACGACAGATAATCTTAATCTTAATCGGGTAATCTTAATCTTACGTAATAATCTTAGGTGGCAATCTTAATCGAGCCAGAAAACCGCACAGCGCAAAGGCGACTGTTTGCTGGGATCCAGTTCAGCAACGCGCTTTCGGCCTTGAGGCTGAGTGCAACTCCCACATCGTAGATACCACGAGCCACTGTCAGAATCATCAGATACTCGAAGAGTGAACGTGAAACATCTAGGCTCGTCCCAAGCGGCTTAAGGAGCACGACCGAAGTGCGGTCATGTGTGCGTGTTTTGGAGACACAACATACATCGACAGAAAGGGAAAGTAAGGTTTCAGCAAGGGATGCCTGCTGTCCAATTTGATATGAAGCACGGACATTGAAGGCTGCGACGTGGACCAGATCTTTTGAGGTTATTTTTCTCGGTGATGGTTGAGACACGGAACAGTGGCTAGGGGATTAGCAGATGGGTTGACTACACTGCACTGTACGGTGTGTTGGGAGGGAATGAGAAGGAAGGCCGATTAGCGAAGAGCTGCAATGGCAAATGATACTTACAGGTTGCTCAGGCCGAAGAAGGGGGTTTAGTTTAGGTACCCCACCTTGAGCCTTTGACCCAAAAGTCTGACCCACAAGGCAGTGAAAGGATGTAGGGTTTTGTTCGGAGGTCCTGCCCTAGCCTCTGAATCAAAAGTCTGGACCGCGAGACAGCGGTTGTTAAGGTTTTCTTGGGGGACACCGTCCGGAGCCAATGCCTCAATAGTCTGACCTACTTGGCTATAGGGGGCCGGCCTGGCCCGAGGGCGCAGAAAGTAGGGCATAATCGTCTCAATCCCGATGCGACTGCACACAGCAGGTGCCTTTTGAGCAGCACCAGGCTCTTTGGTTTTAAATTATTTCGACGGTATAGAAGAATGTACTGGCGGTCACGGTCAACCGTTGGGCGATCGGAATGTGCGGTTTTTAGAACCGACCTTTTCTAACCCGTCCTTCCTCGGGGGAAGGCAGCATCGCTGCTTCCATAAATACGGACATGTTGGTCGCCTGGGGGAAACACCTTACTGCCTTCACATTCCCATCGCAGAGGACAGTACGACTTTACCTCCAGACCGTCTTGTAATACGATTACTCGCAGTAAAAGACTCGCTGTTCTTCGTCGGGCTGCTACCCGTTGGCTTTCCTGGCATGGTTGAACCTTTGGGAACTGAGTTCCAGCCAACATAGCCCGCAGGACCGTTGCAGCACAGAAGCCCGACCACCACAACAAGGTGACAGCTTAAGGTCGGGTAGGTTCATACGGTAACATACCCAACAGTAGCTGTCACGAAGGAAGGATAAGGCTGGCATGGAACCTTCAAGGGAGCGGCCCCTCACTGAAGGGATCTTCTTTTACAAGGCAGCAACCAAATACTTCAAGTAAGTCGGAACATAGTACGTATAAGTGCGGCATTTAGGACCACGAGGTTTACAAGTCAGTTGAAGTTTCATCATCAACGGTTCAGTGGCTTGCACGAACTTGGAAACAGCAGTACCATCTCGGCAAAACTCAATGAAGAAAAAGTCCCCAAGATTCAGATGTGATTCAGATGGTGTGTTCATGTGCAATAAAGTCGAATCCGTAAGTGGGGTGATTCAATCATACGTTCAAACATGATAGCTAAAGGAAGGGAAATAATTGATCAATGGTACGGCTGGCAAAGTAAAAGAAATAACAGTCTGAGTTGCATTAAGGGCAGAAGTAATGCATACTTCACCATTTGTGAGGATGATGGGTGTTCCTGGGGGGGCGTTGGCATAAGAAGTTTGTACTGGTAGAACAAAGTCCAAAAACTGAAGTTTGAAAGTGATTGAGTGTGATAGTTGTGTCATATAAAACAGAGATACGAGTTGCTAATTCGGCTATCGTTTCAAAAAAGAGTTGAAGAAAACCCTTACCAACACACCCTAAAATAGTTCACCAGAACTAAATAATTTTGAACCACAACTAAATCCACCGAATTATCATTATCAGTGGACTGAGGCTGAAATATAGGCCATAATGAGACAGACTGTCCTAATAAACGAAAAGAATAATGCGCACCTTGCGAACCTTTGTGTGACAGCACCTTGATGGGAGAAACCCTGCGTATTGAATGGCTACAGCTGGGTTCCAGGAGTCAGCTTAAGGTAATTTTTGACGTTTTATGTCCCAGACATCACATCAAAAATGAGCTTTCTTCCAAAGGTCGACTATAAATGGAAAAGTTAACTAGAGCAACATGTCTTCATTGGACTATGAGGTCGGAACATGACCAGGAAATTCCCATCTACCAGGTGAGATCAAGTGCATTGAAAGAAACGGACCATCATAACCGAGAGACTAAGCTGGGTTCAGATGAGTTTCCTGTCAAAATTAAATTTGTGTGCAAAATGAGAGTGATTGTTGAATTTGGATGTTTCAAAAATGGGAGAAACCCACATAGAGTTAATGGAAGCTACCGGTTTCAACCATTTTAGAGCCCAATGGGAAATCGCATGCCTCGAATTGCGATCTTCCATCCCACCTGAATATCATTTTGTACATATGTAAGTTAAATCTTCCACACTCACATTCAGTTCAATTGTCAACCTGAGCTGCGACGCAACTTTCGCGCTACATATTAGGTTGAAGAGGATAATCAACTTGAAAATCATTCAAGCTTCCTGAAATCCTGAGGATAGAGAACACAACTACTGTGTCACCAAATATGCTGAGGGTTTACTGTGAAGCGCAGTGCAAGGCTCGGGGGCTGTACTAGTGATTTCGGACCTAAAGAACATACAGGCATATTACTCCTGTCTTCACTATATTTGTTGTTATATAAGAAATATTTTTGTCGAACAAAGTTTACTCATAGGGTTTCTGAAAACTTTTCAACAGTCCACAATGAGTGTCACCACTCTTCGTGTTCATCAGACATATTCCCCTATTTCCTGTTAGCCTTACTGTCCACTTGAACATCAAATAGTGCGCAAATGACAAATTACACTCATTTGAGATTCGAGTTGCTATCAAATGAATCCCAGCTGAATTCCAATATGTGAATGAGTTGCACAGACGTCGTCTCATGCTCCAGTTGGTATGGGATCGAAATGCTTTCAGTGTTCGTGATATAACACTATTTGCGGGGTTGCTGAAAACTCGACATCCAACTCCATCATCACAGCAAGTTGTGGTATCTTTCCGATCTTATTCGAGTTTGCCTCGTCTGCAATGACCCAAATACATGGTTGTTGCACTGCAGTAGTGTCTCAGCTATATATATGCCGTATTAAGGTTACATATTTCGGGGAAGGCAAAACAGTCCATCGCAAACTCACAAGAATGCTCGAAGGTCATACATAAGGCTGTTACTTTATCACAGTAGTTCAAAAAGCATGCAACACATTTTTTAAATTTGAATATCTTGGGAGAAAAGTTTGTTTTCCCTTGGTGTGCCCACCTCCAAGGAAAAAGTCCCGCGCATGATACCCCTGTAGACAATACAGCGTATTACTGTATGACTTACACTTGGATGTGTCTGCCCCGTGATAGGCTTCCAACCAGGCCAGTAGTCCAATATAGTCGGAATCAACAAAAAGCAACACAATATCTTTCGCCCAGTAGGCTTGCTCTATGAGTAAAATAAGTGCACTGGGATGATGAAAACAGAGTGCATTACGTCTTAGTACTTTCATCAGGGATACAAGTAGGCCCACTGTTGGTGAGAGACAGGGTGATGCGGCAGTCGAACATTCAGTACTCAGTTGGACGGTGAGAAGAAGGGATTCTGCTCGACCACCACTGGGTGATCGCATAATCGCGTACAAGTTTTTCCCGACAACCTCTTCAATAGGATGTAAGATATCGTGTGTGAAGCTGAAATTCTGTTCATAAACTTCCAGCCCAATATCCGTCAACTCAGATCTCAACCACTGACGAAGAGTGGACCTAAATGGATACACAAAGAGAGCGTAAGAAGAACGTACGTATCACCCTTCGCATAGATTGAAGACAGTTGTCCATCATAAGCTGCTGTCGCTGCACTGTCGCTGAATTTCTCTACAACCTGACCTGCACATACCACGGGGATAGAAAACGAGACGCCACATACCAACCAGAAGGGCGTTTTCACTCATATAGGTTTCATAGTTAAGTTCATCTTGGGAGAGAAAGCAGAACCAAATTAGGCCCGCCGAATACAAAAGCAGACCGAGGGAGGTGGACCACTGTGAAAGGGTTTTTCGAACGCCTTGTTTAGTTGGTAAACCCATGCTGGAAGCAAAAAAGAAAACGAAATTATATCACCAAACTGAAGAGGAAACATCTTTGCGTCCGTATCCCAATATGTGATTGGCCTACATGAGAATCGGTATAACGTGTACAAGAAGCTCTCACGCATCGGACAGATTCGCAGGAAACAAAACTGACCGAAATGCGAGAAAAAACTTCCCGGTATGTTTGACATATATGAGGATATCCAAACACGGGGAAGACACAGAAGACCGAAAGTGTGCTCCATCTGTGTCAATACCCGCCATCGGTTGAACAGAACATTTTCGGTTCTTCGAGGCCTCAGCGAAAGCGACAGTAAGTTTAAATAAATATACTTCGCAGTCGTACAAGTAAGTAATTTAATCATTGGGTTGTTGCTAGAGAGGGCAAAAAGTTCCTGGTGAAGTGGTTCTCAACTCGGGGGGTCTTCGCCTCCTCCGGGAGCAATTTCAGCCATTAATTGTGGAAAGAGGCCATAGATTTGAAAATAGTGCCGTGGGGAAACTTATTCTATTTCATTTGAAGTGTGAATCGTCTGAAATTTCTTTCTACTAATGTCACTTTTTGCCCACTGTTATACGGTCCTATAGACTACCGATGACAAATGTGTGGTCGACGATGACCTTGTTAATTATGTACAACGTGATTCCTTTTCCTTCGAACTTTCAGTGAAATTTTACACGGGAAAAATGGTAAGTTGTCATTTCAGTCCGTGTGTAACTCATCTGTTCCCACCGTATTCGTTTCTGGATTGTACATTCAGAAAAATAGGAGATCGAAAAACAATTCAACCCAAAATGCGGATACGATCCCAAGACATCAACAGATCAAAAGGTCTAAAAGATTCACCATTTCCTGTTCACTACTGTGTCACTCCGTAAAAAACGCTCAGCGATACCATGACGAAAACTCTGACGAAAATTGATAAGAGCTGAAGGAAGAGCATCATGAAGGGTAGTAAGACTGGTGTACAACGTACAGCCAAGCCCGGTCCGAAATGAGGTGTGTACTGACTGACAGGTCAGTTTAACATGAACCAACCATACCAAACTGTCAGATTTCCCATCTGGCCCATAATTTTTACATCAAGTCTCAGTCGCTTTATTAGTCTACAGTTGTCTTTATCGTCGAACGAGTCGGTGCTACGTGGTGCCAGGGCGAAAATGCATTCCTCTACATCGGTTCCTTTGTCGACTAAGCTTCAAGAATCACCATCTCAACTCCAACATTAAGCCACATGACGAAGCTCTTCCTGCTGTGGCTTGCTCTGTCTCGTAGGAACGAGCGGTTACTCGCAGCTATCTACTCTCCCGAATACGCTGTTCAGAATAGGGTGTATTTGTGAGGGAGGTGAGTTGGACCATGGCAATTACAGCATGCGAAGGATAGGGTCGCAACGGCATATGGTAATAGCTTCAGCCATTGTGATTTTGCGGTGCTGTACCGATCTGGGTTCAATACCAGGCGCCTTCTAAACGATGCGAAAGCTTTGGCTGAGTATCACGCTGTGCACCGGGCCATATCAATGGTTAGAGACATTGTCAGACATGACCCAGTCGCGCCCTCAATGGTGCTCATGCATCCAAGCTATTGCCTTCAATGCCCCTCCCAATTTCTCCACTAAACAGTCCACCGACAGTGCTGTATTCCCGCACTAATATGTCAGATCCCGCATCCAATGCGCAGCTACCTACCCCACCTCCCCGAATCACGGGGAACGAAACTGTGGAAGCTACAACCACTGTAAGACAAGTACGCGGTTAGTACAGCTGACATTGATGATGATGATGTGCTTCACGTCAAATGGATGTACGACTGAGCTGGTTATCGCCCTCCTAGTTCCAGAAGCTAGCCATGGTGGGTCATGCTTCCCAATTCTTTGGCCGAGTTGTTTGATAGTGTATTCAATGTAATCTCCCGACCGGTCGTCCGCACAGACACTACGATTCTGCCTGTAGGAGACCTAAAGCTGCCACCTTGACGTGGTGGTCGGGCTTCAGTGCTGCAATGAGCCCGCGGGCTACAATGGCTGGAATTTCGTTCCACAAGGTGCAACCATGCCAGGAAGGCCAAAGGGGAGCAGCCAGACCAAGAGCAGCGAGACACCGTATTACGAGTAATCGTGCTACGAGGCGGTCTGGGGGTAAAGTCGTACTGTCCTCTGCGACTGGAGTGTGAAGGCAGTAAGGTGTTTCCCCCTGGCGACCAGCATGTCCACATTTATGGAAGCAGCGATGCTGCCTTCCCCCGAGGAAGGACGGGTTAGAAAAGGTCGGCCCCAAGAACCGCACACTCCGATCGCCCAACAGTTGACCGTGACCGCCGGCGCATTATCCAATACGGTCGAAATACTTTTAAAACCAAAGAGCCTGGTGCTGCTCAAAAGGCACTTGCTGTGCGCAGCCGCATCAGGAATGAGACAGTAATGCCTTATTCCCTGCGCCCTCGGGTTAGGCCAACCCCCTGCAGCCGAGCAGGTCAGACTGTTGAGTCGTCGGCTCCGGGCAGGGTCCCCGAACAAAACCCCACACTCTCCCACTGCCTCGTGGGTCAGGCTTTTGAGTCAGAGGCTAGGGTTAGGGTGAGGTACTTCAACCAAATCCCCTTCCTCGGCCTAGGTAACCGGGAAGTATCATTTGCCCGCGCAGTTCAGCGTCCACTGAAGTCCCTCCCCACCGCACAAGCAAACGTCGCTGGGCCATTTGACTGTCAGTTATCTGACCGAAGGTCCTTATGCTCCCCGCTGCCTACAAACATTTAACAAAATAACACCTTTCTAAATCCACGAGATCCTTTCTATATAGGAG